TTCAAACGGTGTTCGGTTTCGAACGGCCTTTGTTGGGCATCGATTCAGAATATAAATAGTTGTGTGTATCGCTTCTGCCCAAAATATTTTGGGTAGACTTTTGCCGATCATCATGCTTCTAGCCATTTCAACAATGGTGCGATTTTTTCGCTCGGCTACCCCGTTTTGTTGGAGACTCCTCCGAATAGTGAGCTGCCTCTGAATACCATTATCTTTACAATACTCCATAAACGGAGTGTAAATAAACTCTCCTCCACGATCTGTCCGAAGGGTTTTGATTTGATGACTAGATTGTTTTTCCGCTAGAGCTTTGAATTTGAGAAATGCGGAAAAAGCCTCAGACTTTTCATTTAGAAAATAAACCCACATCATCCTTGTATAGTCATCGACAAATAAAATGAAATACCTTTTGTTTCCAAGAGAGAGAGTCCTCGAAGGACCCCAAATATCCGTATGAATAACCTCCAAAGGTTCTCTAGCTCTCCAAGATGTTTTCGGAAAAGGAAGTCGATGCATTTTGCCATATATGCATCCATCACAAACTTGAGTTTTTCCTTCAATTTCTGGGAGTCCAATCACCATATTCTTTTGCTTGAGAAGTTGCAGCCCTTTCATATTAAGATGTCCGTATCTCAAATGCCAAAGTTGAGATTGATCAAAATTTTCACCTGTGAAGGTCACCTTTTCTTGAAGAGGCATATTCATGGGAAACACCTTATTGGAGCTCATAGGAACTGTGGCGATGGTGGAATTGCTTTTCTTGTCAAATATTCTACATTTTTCATCATAAAAAAAAACAGAATATCCTTTGCGTAGCAGTTGTCCAACACTAAGGAGGTTACTAGTCATATTAGGCACATAAAGAACATCATCAATGAGCTTTTTGTTACCTCCTTTAGTTTGAACAGCGATAGTTCCCTTTCCTTCAGTGCGATGTAACTTTTCATCACCAAGCTTCACTTCTGAATTGAAATTCTCATCAAGATCAATGAAATTTTTTTTATTTCTAGTCATGTGACTGCTGCAGCCGCTGTCTAGGTACCACACATTTTTTGATTGTTGTTGAACCATCATACAAGAGAAAAGCTGTTCATCTTCATCTTTGGAAAAGTTTGCTTCATCCTTCTCATCTTTGTTCTGGTAATAACAATTTCTTTGAGAGTGGTTAGGATTTCTGCATCTCTTGCATTTGTAGAAGCAATCATTTGTTTCATGATTTGATTTTCTGCAAATTTTGCAAAAAATATTTGCATTTCCAGCTTGACGATTTGGATTTCCGTCATAGTTTTTTGATTGGTTGCCTTGTGCTCTTCCTTTTCCTCTTCCTCGAAATGATCCTCCTCGTCCTCGTGATGATTCTCCTCTTCCTTGGAAAGAACCTCCTCTTCCTTGGGAAGATACTCCTCTGCCTTCTTGCCGCTGTTTAGAATATGAATTATAAAATTTCATTTTGGACTCAAATGCTTGCTCAAGTGGCTGATTTGAGAACCTGCCAATTCTTTTTTCATGTACTTGCAGGGAACTCATCAAATCGTTAAAAGTATATTTAGACAAATCTTTTGATTCTTCAATAGCGGCAACAATATAATCATATTCGCGGGAAGGCTTCGAAGGACCTTTTGAACAACTTTTTTTTCTTCAATTGTGTCCCCAAGGCTTCTGATTTGATTTACTATTTCGGAGACTCGAGTTAGATAGAATTGCATAACTTCATTATCTTTTTTTGATAAATTGTCGAACTCCCTCCAAAGAGATTGAAGCTTTAGAGATGTCACCTTGTCATTGCCATGAAATCCCTCATTTAAGATATTCCAAGCTTGCTTGGCTCTTTTGACACCGTGAATTCGAGGATATATGATCTTGCTTAATCCTTGTTGTATAAATCTAAGAGCACTTGCATCTCTCCGTAAATTTTTCTTGTAATCTTTTTGTTGAGCCTCCGTCCATTCTTCTTCTTCTTCTTCATTATCATCAGGTTCCGGAAATCCATCTTCAACAACTTCCCACAAATCTTGCGCAATGAAGAGTGTCTCCATTTGACTACTCCAATAATCAAAATGCTCTCCTTCAAATATGGGAACTTGGTTAGGAGTATAGGAAAACATGAATGTAGAAACATGATTTGATGCCATGTTTTGGAGAGGGGAAATAAAACTTGAGATACGTATAGAGAACTAAGCTCTGATACCAAAAATTTGTTGGGGATTGATTAAAAATCGAATGAAAAAGAAGGAATATCGAATGCTCGAAATTATACGTAATATAGTGCTGCTGCACTTTTTATGATTGTAGAAGAGAAGATATTATATTGTAAATTTTTGTGACTTCGATACTTTTAATGGCTTGAGTTACATGGGTATTTATAGATAAGATTTAACATGTATCTAGCCTAACTCATGAACCAACATTAAATAGATACGTTTCTCCTCCTCTAGTACATTAATGGACAAATGCATGTATAATTATAATTCATGAATCTAGATAATAAATACAAATTACGTTTCCAACACATAAAACTATTGATAGCATAAACCTATTGGTATTTGGCCTTGTGCACGTCAAAAATCCTTGACACCCTTCCCCTATCCAACCTGGCACACATCTTGAAAGCTTGATGACGCATATTTGCAGATATCACAACAAATAGGAAATTCAGGATAAAATGAGACTTCCTCAGAGACTATAGACAGAACTTTGATCTCTAGTAACATCATTCAGGGATTATGCTTGATAAGTGCAATGTTTAAGAATCAAGGGCTGCAATGCACAATATTTAGGATTTTTGGTCGGGGAATTAGAAGCCTAATCAAAGAAATAAGTTGAAGAGTAAGAAAAGAACAAAAAATGATTTTTTTTTTTTTTTTTTTTTAACCTACAGAGATATACCTTGATTCCTCTCAGTCCATTACATTCAGCATTAATGCATAAGCTCAAGACACTTTGAGATTGATTCCTTGTTGTATTCACGTGAAGGTATGCACAATATATTTTGGTAGTAAGACTCAACAATTAACAAAAATGGAACATCTGTTTCTAGAACTACAATACATAGGCCTCCATATGCGAGTTTGTTCACAGTATAATAGACAAAAAATGAGATCTATAAATGATCATAACTCACATATTCTATGCTAAAAATTACCATTATAGTTGCCAACCGGATCAATATCATTAAAAATAAATTGCAAAATTTCAACGTGTGTAACTATATAAACCTGACAAAGAACTTTAGAATCACCCTTCTTTTACTGTTAACTTGGCTACATAGCCATCTATTTTCCCATTGCTTTACAATTTCCATTTTCCTCTGGTACTGCATAAGTAGTAAAGTTATAAACACCCATCTATTTCGGAAATTCACCCTCCCCCGCACAACAAAGAAAATCTTTATTAACAGTCACAACAATAAATTTGGTATGCTATTAGTCGTACTACCTTTTGAATTTCACAAGGATAATAATTTTTGTCATGGAAAAAAAATAGCGTGTATACATAACTAAAAGAGTCAAAACTCAGTATTATTTAACAAATAAAGGAGCTTCTCAATATTTAATATCATATACATAAGAACAATCATATCCACTGCCATCACTTGTCCCAATTTCCAGAAGAAATATAAGGTGGACTTCATGTAAAGAATATCTTAAAAAGTGGACAACCCTAAAATATATACAAACAACCCAAACTGACGTATTTATAGCATGTTGGGCTTAACTTATAAGCTTATCCAAAATACTCTTAATTAGCATTCAAGTGGCAAGAGCTTCTAGATGCTTCGGCAGATAAAAGGCAACTGAGTTATGAGAAACAGACATCTGCCCGGATTGCCAAAATCTCTGAGGTTAATTACAATAATTGTTATTACTAATTAGTAATTACATGGGTCTAACAGCTAAACAACGAGAGTGCCATAGCAGGTTAATAAATGCTAATTACTCATCGTAAAACACTATTAATAGGAAAGTTTCGGATATAATAAAAATACTCCAATCGGATTTCTTATGATCAGATTATTCATGAATTTACTCAGATTTGGCACTACTATGTGCTATTCAAAATCCCTTAATTGCAATAAATATCATTGATAATGAGCTTAAGAAGGAAACAAATGCTGAGCTTAAGCAACGTTAAAGCAATTAATACTGAGCTCAAATACAGCAACATTATAGTTCAAAATCAATCATAAAATTCAGAAGCTGACAGAATTAGAAAGGTACAAAAGAAAATCTAAACAGTTACTTACCTATGCAATTCACCTAATCAATTCAATTATCAATCAATAAGATAAACAAAAAGTGCACAAATTTAAACTCCCAATCCCAAGAGAAAAAATTCATTCCAATTAGAAAACAAACAATAGTACCAAAATAGATAATCAAATGGGTATCTTCATCCATAAATTTAGCTGAAACTCATACCTCACATAAGAGTTAAACGAGACTGAGAAACCAAAGTTCACGGGCCGAACCATTATTTCATTATTATGAATATAAGAACCCATACTTCTGCAAGCACATATAAAATTTTTTATAGCTACATATATATGTATAGAGAGAGAAAGAGAGAGAAGCCTGAAGGGTCAGGAGAGAAGGTCGGAGTTTTGAGATGGGACACTATGACTGAGTGTGCTCGAGACCATGGAGTTCGGGCCATGTGCGTGCACTAACGTGGCAACCTGAACAGGGAGTGAAAGTCCGGACAAAATAATTTCTGTTGGTTCATGTTAATTTTTAAATTTTGTCAATATCTGTTTTTTCCTCGATCATGTCAACTTGACAGACTCAGGTCAAATTGCATTGAAAATAATTTTTTTTTAATATTGTCTACTTTTCTTTAACAATCTATTGAAAATGATTTGATAACTACTCATTTACATTTTAATTTAAAGTATATTTTTCCAATCATAATATATATGAAGGAAGTTCGAGTGTATAACAATTAACAATACAAATATCATTGCATAATAAAAATAATTTTTGTTGATTCACATTAACTTCTAAATCTAGACAATATCTGTTTTTTCCTCGATCACATCAGTTTGAAAGAGTCATGTCAAATTGCATTGAAAATACTTTGATAACGACCCATATACATTTAAATTTAAAGCCTATTTTTTTTCCAATCATAATATATATGAAGGATGTTCGAGTGTATAACAATTAACACTCCAAATATCATATTGCATAATACATATAATAGAGGTGTTAAATAGATATGATGAAATTAACTTTTTTTCTTAGCCCCCTCGCACGAGCTAGGACTGGTATCCTATTAGGTCTAACTCACCAATTCCTAGCTAGGCCTATCTTAGCCCACAATCTTGCGTTGCATAGAGATTTCAATGGGGTAGGATAGGGAGTCATCGATCAAGTTTCTCATTTCGTTCGTCGTCCGGTCTACAATTCAAGACGTAATTCTAGGCTTCATACGGATGGGACTATGCAAGATAAATTGAGGGTAAGAAATTTTGCAAGACTAAGCATCATTTCCCAAGAGATAGTTCATGTGGTAATGTGATGGATTGCAAAATTACTTATGTTGAGAATATTGACAATCTTTCTAATAAAAGCATATCAACTAAAAGTTTCGAGTGTCACATAGAAGGCATAGGAATACATGACATGCCACACGCACTTTATGGAAAGTGAGAGAATTGTTAGGATATATGTCCAATAGTTAGGACATGTCTATAATTGTTGAAATTTATTTTTTTGGTAAAATAAACGTTGTTTATTTATTTATGTTTTCATATATTTATTGTACTCGCGCCAATGAGTGTGCAATTAATTGTCATTGCTTGCTTTAAAATAATATAAGTTATGTACTTGTATTGGAAATATAGACAAATATAACTTATATTTTGACCTAGACTCGTAGGCCAAGGTTGTTATTTTGTTATAAAAGGTCATGAGGTCAGTTACTCTATTGATTGGGGTGCACGATTTTATCTTGTTCGTGGCGGGAGTTCGTTCAAGACTACTGAGATTAGTACACTTTAGAGTGTGTCCCATGATCATGATGTGTAGATTAGTTTTTATATTATGGTCGTAGGAAGAAATTAAACTGCACATGATTGAATTCAAAAAATAAAAATAAAATATTCATGTACCAAAGAGCGAGATTAATTGATATGGTCAAATACCTTTGTACGTTCGAGAGCTGACAAGAAACCAAGCAATGCGCACTTATTCGACTACAGAATTCATCACTTTGTTCAATGGTTAATGAGTCAACTTAAAATTTTATTGGAGTTGCTTTAATATGAGCTCAACTAAGAAATTGTTTATGATAAAACAAATCGAAGTGATACATATATATATATATATATATTAGACACACACACATTATAGCCCATATTTAATTATTAAATGGTCAATAGTAAATTAATTTGACAGGTCAAGATGATGCAATTGCAAGAAACTCAAATACATTGATCTTATGATTTTATACAATTTGTTAGCTTTAGTGGAGTGAACGAAAACCAATAATTATTCTGTAAAGTCTCGATTGGATTAACTGTGATTTAATTATTGAAGCTCACCTATATAGTTTCAATCAAGTCCATTTGATAGCTGTCTTCAACTTAATTGCACTAGTAAAAAATGTTCTGAGATTGCACATACGAAAGGCCAAGAATGAAATATAGGTACAACTAGACAAGAAGAAAAACCCTGAGGCCACAGGTTAGCACTAGAAATCTACTACCTGGCCAGGGACTTCATAAAGAGAATTCTTCGTGTTCTTCTTTTTTGTAATTAATTAATTTATTTATTTTTGGTGATCCTAGCCAATGTTTTAAGATTTTAGCATTGGTTCTTTCTAGGTATCCACTCATATGTAGGCTATGCCACGCCATGCAGGTGTACAAGGGTGGACCCACATGTCGTCATATGGGTCAAACGACCCCACAAGTTTTTGGTTTTTTTTTTTTTACCTAAATATTACTAGCAGCCAAGGTTACCCAGTTTTCTAAATCCTAATGCAGCCAACACTGGTGACAGGTTCAAATTCAATCACTATATTCATATTCCAATTTCCATATATCCATATCCATAATCCATTTATTGATTTATCCATCACGCCATGCAGGTGTACAAGGGTGGACCCACATGTCGTCATATGGGTCAAACGACCCCACAAGTTTTTGGTTTTTTTTTTTTTTTACCTAAATATTACTAGCAGCCAAGGTTACCCAATTTTCTAAATCCTAATGCAGCCAACACTGGTGACAGGTTCAAATTCAATCACTATATTCATATTCCAATTTCCATATATCCATATCCATAATCCATTTATTGATTTATCCAAACCCAATCCAACTTATGAGTTCCAAAATAGCCAAATCTCATTTTTTCCAAACTGTTAAACGTAAGTCGTGACTTGTCTCTAAT